TTATTATGTATTATATCAATGAAATTAGAAGAAAATAAAACACATTATTTAATGTAATGTCTTTATTATTGTATTAGTTTTTTGTGGTAATACACTTTGAGCAATAATACAGATCAAGTGTAAATAAATTATATTTTGTATATGGTAACGTGTATCAACTAGTAACCTTATTAAAATATTTTAAATAATGTATTCAAAAGAGGAAGTATAAATTATTATTCTGTGGGAAAAACAGTATCTGTTAAGTTGTGCCAAGCTTGGTGCTGATGATCTGGAAATTTAATTGTATCTATCCAATGTTTTAGTCGGGCTCCTTTGCTGTTAGAACTTAATTCAAGTCCACCTAAATAATAATACAATGCATATAAGTGGAATACAATATAAAGTACTAGACTAGTGAATAATTTTTTAAATTTTACTAAAATTTAATATGTTCAATGACATTTATTTCATTATATGTATATATTATATGCTTCTGATATTGTATTTATGTGATCACTTTTATTTTATACTATATCAATTTTTTAGTCCTTAAGACAATCATTTAATTAGTAAACATTCTACTTTTTATTATCATATATTATTATATTTGTTTTACCAAGATAGTCGTTATTCTTGCCAAAGTCCTTGTCCCACACTGTAATGTATAATGCAAGTTTTGTAAGATCTGTCAACCGCATAGTAAAAATAAATTCTTCATTCCATTTGGGATTTAAAGTTTTCCACTTGATTGTTGTGTTCTGAGAATTACGACCTATGATTTTCTTTGACATGAGCTTTCTGCCTGTGATACGTGCAATTGAATAGTCAAAGACACGTTGTTTTTGATTGTTTGTCACATTTTCTATAAGGCACAACTTGACAAATGGGTCAGAAAATCCATTACTATCCATTGGAAGTAGATTTGCAGCTTGTTGAACCATAACCATCAATGCTCTACGTCTTGTACAGTAACTTAGAGCCACTTCAATCTTTCCCCGTCCACTGGAAAACACACCCCATGCAGCTTCTTCATTGTTCACCTATGCCAACGTCGAGCTCTTATATCTTAGTGTCTGCAATAATGTAAGTAAAGTCGGCCGTCGCGAGAAATTGAAGGCACGATGAAATAATTAGAAAAATCATATCTATAATCATATGAATAATACTAACTCAAATGTAGAGAACAATTTATAAACTATTAATTGTAATATTCTATTAATTAGCGTTTTTCAAGCTATCTAAGATTGATTATAAGAGGATGAAATTAATTATACATACTGGATAATAATCTTGTAATGGGACATTATAATGTTTGGTTTGACGGGGTTGTAACTCGTGCAGGGGAAACCTCGCTTCTCCTAGAAAGTCTTGACCTGCTGGATCGTCCTGGAGTATCAGGATGTGAAGTGCTTTGCCATTCCATATCTGTTATGAAACAATCATTAATTGTTCGCATTCTTTAATCATCGATATAATCAACCTAGTTGTTATTAGAGTAAAAAATTGTTATTGTTCGTACGTCTGTTTCCGTCGTTCCATAAAAGTTTAGTGTCTCGTTGAATTCCGGATTCCGTGTTTTGTGGACTGTCTTTGTTCGAAGACGTTCCGTATTCGCTACTGGATCTATTGGTAATATGTTCAGTTTGCAGAACGGATCGGCGAGACCATGAATATCCATTGGTCGTAAGCCTCGTGCTCGTTCCACCTTGCACTGGAGGCACTGATCCGCTGGGTCGTATTGCAAGGAGATTTCTAGAGTTCCATAATTTTCCTCCACTCCTATGTATCATAGTAGTATAAGATTAATTTTATAATTATACATTTCTTTTGACTGTTATTTTGAATATTAGTCACCGTGCTCCAACATTTGTAGGTGTGACGAGTCGATTTGATTGTTGCTGTGCGGGTTCTCTTTTTCTAAGTAAAATTGACTTGCGTGCTGGCCCATGTATTTCTCTTTGATTTGAAACTGTTCTAGTACTTGTTCCGTTGGAATGATTGTCGTTCCCAGTTTCATTGGAACCGTTGACGAATTCAATCTACAATGTGTTAACTGATGTTAGCTAAACTTCTACTCTTTTGTCTAGCATTCTTACGTACCTGAGAGATTGTACCTGAGAGTTTTTTAATTGATTGTATGAGTTAAACTCTATTCTACGAGTATCGTTATTTATATCGCTGGGATTGTCGGATTTTTTAACTTTTTCAGTGATGATTTCATCCTCGAAAGACACACGTTGTTCAAATTGGGGATCATTAGTGGCTTTACCATTCGTTCGCAATCGTGAACTCGCAACTGAAGAAGTTGGTGAAATACGACTACATTGAGATGTAATTGAAAGAGTAGACCTATCTAATTGATCTAAGCATTCTTCACGATTATTCAACGGTGATAAGTCGTTGGATCGCTGTCCCGGTGATATTTTAGATACACTGCTAGTTGATTGAGCAGAATTCGAAAATGGCGAAAGTCGCGTTACTTCTTCATCCGAAGAGGAATCATGAGGTTCTGTTAATTCCAGAGATTTGTTTCCTCCAACAGTCCAAGACATCTGCTTGTGACCAATTCGCGACCATCCACGTTCCTGTTTTAATCAAATATGTTAATATATTTATTTTATTCAATCAATTACTTTATTACTAGGGTGAATTGAAATACCTTTTTCTCGGGCAAAATGTACTTTGGCATGCCTTTAAGAAACCAAGCACCGCTTTTTTTCCACATTTCTCTGGTCTCTGCGCATATACGACAAAGAAATTGTCTTTGACTGTTATTTGAACGTCTGACAATTCGTTGCATAGTTGTTCTATCTAGCACACTTTTTGTTGAAACTGTACTTGGAAATGCCGAATTAAGTTCAGTAGTTTCTATACCACATTTTTGACATATGTATTTACGACAGTCCTTGCAAAGATTTGGTGTTGCACCCAGTACGGCTCCAAATTTTTCACCACATAGAGCACAGGAACATACGCAATGCGCACTGTTAGAACAACGGCTACTACAGTTTCTTCTCTCATTCATTCTTGTTCCAGTGACAATACAAACATTACGTTTCATGTTTTCTAGTCTCTCTACTAATCTACCAATTCGTTCTTGTTCGGATAAATCTAGGGCTTCAGCTCTTTGAATGACCTAAAATATTAGCAAAAAGATAACATATATATGTAAACGTTCAATTTATACTTTTACTATTATCTTTACAACTTCGTGATTTTAAACTTTAACGTCTTTTATTAATGAATCCATTTACCTCTATGATTGCTTGTTGCTCTTCTTCAGACAATACAAATGATTGTGCACAACGATTTGAACCAGCAGTGTAAGAATTTGAATAATTACCCCATTTTGAATCTAGAGCACCAGTCTTCACAGACCATCCTATGCGCAATCTGATTACAGAACAAAATAAATATATTTAGTAGAGAATATAAATTATATATACTTGTCAAATATATTTTATTTATACTCACTTTGCTCTCAATGCTAAATGACGATCATTTGGACAAACCCATCTGTTTCCTCTACCTGGATCTTTTACTGTGATGTCCATAGTGATTAGTGAGAAAGAGATTAATGTAACCCTTAGATCATTTTAAATATACTATGAACATTGTGTAATGTAGTTTATCCTACGAAAAATAAATATACGTAAAAAGAGAATTGTGATATATAAAATAAGATAAAATTTAACTACTAAATTATTAATGTTATAAAATTATTTTTCCACGGAAGTGAAATTTTTATAATGAAATCTTGTTAATTATTCGATTGATTGGAATTGTTACACAAAATTGGTGTGAGATGAGAAGGTATAGAAACTAATAAAAAAGATATTTTCTAAATGTACGTTTTTTAAATTAGTTGCTTCATTAGATGCCATTTCCTCGAAACGATCGTGGCTGATATTCTTTGCCGCAAAAACATTTCCTCTTTCCGCATGCTAGAATTTCTATCATTCACGTTATTTACAACTTTACGTACATAATTCTTACAACACGTTCTGACATTTACTATAGTTAATTAGTTTTAACAATTAAAAACTTTCAGAGAAGAAAATTGTAACACACTTATTTTTTTATCTTGTCGATAAAAACGTAAAAGCAACTTTACGTACATAATTCTTACAACACGTTCTGACATTTACTATAGTTAATTAGTTTTAACAATTAAAAACTTTCAGAGAAGAAAATTGTAACACACTTATTTTTTTATCTTGTCGATAAAAACGTAAAAGCAACTTTACGTACATAATTCTTACAACACGTTCTGACATTTACTATAGTTAATTAGTTTTAACAATTAAAAACTTTCAGAGAAGAAAATTGTAACACACTTATTTTTTTATCTTGTCGATAAAAACGTAAAAGCAACTTTACGTACATAATTCTTACAACACGTTCTGACATTTACTATAGTTAATTAGTTTTAACAATTAAAAACTTTCAGAGAAGAAAATTGTAACACACTTATTTTTTTATCTTGTCGATAAAAACGTAAAAGCAACTTTACGTACATAATTCTTACAACACGTTCTGACATTTACTATAGTTAATTAGTTTTAACAATTAAAAACTTTCAGAGAAGAAAATTGTAACACACTTATTTTTTTATCTTGTCGATAAAAACGTAAAAGCAACTTTACGTACATAATTCTTACAACACGTTCTGACATTTACTATAGTTAATTAGTTTTAACAATTAAAAACTTTCAGAGAAGAAAATTGTAACACACTTATTTTTTTATCTTGTCGATAAAAACGTAAAAGCAACTTTACGTACATAATTCTTACAACACGTTCTGACATTTACTATAGTTAATTAGTTTTAACAATTAAAAACTTTCAGAGAAGAAAATTGTAACACACTTATTTTTTTATCTTGTCGATAAAAACGTAAAAGCAACTTTACGTACATAATTCTTACAACACGTTCTGACATTTACTATAGTTAATTAGTTTTAACAATTAAAAACTTTCAGAGAAGAAAATTGTAACACACTTATTTTTTTATCTTGTCGATAAAAACGTAAAAGCA